AAAAACAGGTGTAGTACCAGAATCCTGGAGGATAGTGAATGTAATACCGATTTTCAAGAAGGAGATAGCTCACTATCCCCTAACTACCGGCTAGTCAGTTTAACATCAACTATAGTCAAATTGCTGAAAGCAATAATTTCAAACTCTATTCGAAATCACCTGGAGAAGCACAAGTTCATCAATGATTCCCAACATGGCTTCACAAGTGGGCCTTCATTTCTGACTAATCTATTAACATTATTTTCATCTGTTTTCGAATCAGTGGACGAGGGGCATAATTATGATGTGGTATATCTCGACTTTAGCAAAGCCTTCGACAGAGTCCTCCACGAAAGACTAATAAGAAAAGTGGAGGCTCATGGCATTAAAGGAGATATTCTAAAATGGATTGGGGCGTGGTTACAGGACAGGAAACAGCGAGTGAGCATTAACGGCACTAAACCCTATTGGAGCACCATCACTAGTGGAGTTCCCCAAGGCTCAGTACTTGGACCATTATTATTTATTATATACATAAACGACATAGATATCGGCGTAGACAGCAACATAAATAAATTTGCTGACTACACTAAAATAGGGCATGTGATTAAATCCGACGAGGACTCCGCAAAAATACAGGAAGATCTAAACAAATTTTTCGAATGGTCTGAAAAATGGCAGATGAAATTCAATGTGGACAAATGTAAAGTACTCAGTATAGGAGATGTAAACAGGGAACCAGATACCAGTTGAACAACGATGTTATTGAGAAATCCGACTGGGAGAAAGATTTAGGAGTAATGATAAGTAGGAATCATAAGCCAAGTAAACAATGTGTATTTGCTCGCAACAAGGCTAATAAAGTACTTGGGTTCATACAAAGGAGTGTTAGTTACAAGACTAGCGAAGTACTCCTAAAACTATATCTTGCGCTTGTGAGACCTCACTTGGTTTACACAGTTCAATTCTGGTCACCGTATTACAGAATACATATAGAATCCTTGGAAAGAATTCAGAGGAGAATGACAAGACTAATCCTGGGCATTAGGAACCTTGAGTACAGAGACAGGTTAAAACATCTTAATTTGCACTCCCTCGAAAGACGTAGAGTGAGGGGCGATATGATAGAGGTGTATATATGGAAGTCAGGGCTGAACAAAGGGGAAATTACAAATGTACCCAAATTATCCAACCAGGAGCAAACTCGTAACAAAGGTTTTAAATTAGACAAATTTAGATTTAGGCGCGAAATTGGTAAACATTGGTTTGGAAACAGAGTAGTGGATGAGTGGGACAAGTTACCAAATATCATCATTAACTCGAATTCGCTGGACAGCTTCAAACATAGGTTGGGTGGATATATGAGCAATAGGGATTGGGTGTAAATGGGACTGCCCAGTATGGACCAATAGGCCCGCTGCAGTTTCCTCCATTCTTATGTTCTTATCTAACCCTCTCTCTCTCTCCCCTTCTCCCTTCCTTTTCCTTCCTCTTCCGAACCTCCTTCTCCCCCACACACAGGTAGTCCGGCTCGGCTCCTGAGAACAATAACCCTAAAAAGGCCTTGGCAGTGGCCTGTGTTTCGAGAGTCTTTGGTGGGGGTTGCTGGGGGGTTAGGTGGGGAGAGGGTGGGCCAGGTTAGGTGAAAGGAGGGGGTGGGCCAGGTTGGAGTGGGGAGAGGAGGTGGGGAGAAGGAGTGGAGCCAGGATTAGGTGGGGGAGGGTGGGCCGGGTTAGGTGGAGAGGAGAAATTGGGCCAGGTTAGGTGGGGGAGGGTTGGGCCAGGTTGGGTGGAGAGAGGGGGTGGGCCAGGTTAGGTGGGGGAGAGGGGGTGGGCCGGGTTAGGTGGGGAGAGGAGGTGTTAAGTGGTGTGTGGGGGAGGTTGGGTTAGGTTAGGTTAGGTTAGGTTAGGTTGGGTTAAGTTGAATGAGGTTGGGAGAGGAGGGGATTGGGAAGGGGGTTTGGTACAGCACGGATGGGTAGAGAGAGAGGGGGGCAAAGAGAAACAGAGAGCGAGAGAGAGAGAGATGAAAATAATGGTGATAATAAACTATGATGATAAAGACAGCAATAAAGAGATGAACTAGAACAGGTGTATGAAGTAAGGGGAGAGAGTAATGGGAAGACTGGAGAGAGAGGGGGATAGGAGGAGGAAGAAGAATGGGAGGAGCAGGTGATGGGGAGGAGAAAGGCTGTACGTCAGGAAGGTAGGGAGATGAAAGAAGAGGGGGAGAAAGAGGTGCAAGAGATGGAAATGAAGAGAGAGAGAGAACTAGAAAGAGGAGAGAAAAAAGGGAGAAAAAGGAAGGACAGTAACTAAGAGAGAGAGAGAGAGAGAGAGGAACTAGAAAGAGGGAGAGAAAAAAGGGAGAAAAAGGAAGGACAGTAACTAGAGAGAGGGAGGGAGAGAGTAGAAGTAGGAAGAGGGATGGTGGATAGAGTGGGAAGCAGAGAAGGTAGGAGGGAGAAAGAAGAATGAGGGAGAGGGATGGAGGAAGTGGGAAGGGGGATGGAGGAAGTGGGAAGGGGGAGGGAGGAACAGTAGACCTCATTCATAGATCGAGTATGCAGACAAGTTGCCATATATGGGTTGGCCGTGCAGGTGCTGTTGCCTGGTCACTGCTCTCAATGGGCAGATGAGAAGCCGTTTACCTGGTAATGGGTTTTCGGAAGGGGGGTGTCAATAGGTAGTGAATAATCGTGTATGATTGATATTTCTATTTGTGTCGATAATAAGAATGGGATGTATGATGAAATGAAAGGATGATAATAGTAATAAAATAGTTAATTATATAGAATGATGGTAATGTATATAATACTACTACTACTAATACTACTACTACTACTACTACTACTACTACTAATAATAATAATAATAATAATAATAATAATAATAATAATAATAATAATAATAATAATAATAATAATAATAATAATAACAATAATAATAATAATACAGTAACCTAACCTAACCTAACCTAACCTAACATCTAACCATTTCTTTAATAAGATAAAGCGGGCAAAGAGTGAGGCAGACACACTTTAATGAGAGAGAGAGAGAGAGAGAGAGAGAGAGAGAGAGAGAGAGAGAGAGAACCAGTTATGTTAATGGCCTCGCCTCCAACACAAGGGGACAACACAGGTAAGCTTGTGCCCCAGGGCCCCTCGTTAACATCATTTGTGAGTGTCGTCTGAACTAACAAAATTGTAGATTTACGAGAGTTAATGTATCTATTAGGTCGTGTTTATCTTTAATTATATACCAGAAATGATATATGAAGATCACCTGAACATTAGCCCCTAGTTTATTATATATTGAATATATTGAAACAGTTTATTTAGCCAGAAAAACACAGATACAGAGTGAATAATAACAACAATATTAACATGGCTGAGCCAGTTGAGAACCTGAGCTCTCTTTGAGGCACCTGATATATACTATACATTGATGTCAAGGAAGTATTATGTAACATTTAGTATCATCTGGAATAGTACAATAGCATGGTGGTAATAAGAACATGTTACCACGGTTATCAATTCAATATTTATTTATTATATTTATTTTATTTATTTATTTTACATTTATATTATAAGTATATACATACTTTACAGAGGAGATGATATCTGTGTTGTATTAAGGTGGAACAAGATGACAGAAGCTGTCAGCATCATGTCTTGCCGGCAATGGTAACCTCTACCTATCTACTTAACAATTTATGATAGAATGGTTTTGGTGGTACAATAAAAGTAGGAATATAAAGTAGGTATTACCAAAATATTAATACTTAGACAATAGATATTTTTTAGAGATGATCTAAAAATTCTAAAGGAAGGATCACCAGGAGATTAGCCCCCAGCTTATTTGACCTTAAGATTAACCACCCTAACACTATCCCAACATAACCACCCTAACACTATCCCAACATAACCACCCTAACACTATCCCAACATAACCACCCTAACACTATCCCAACATAACCACCCTAACACTATCCCAACATAACCACCCTAACACTATCCCAACACAACCACCCTAACACTATCCCAACATAACCTAATATAACTTAAACAAACATAATTTAAGTTAGATCAGTCTAATCAAACATTATTCAAACTATCTTACCTAACCTAACCTAACCTAACCTAACCTAACCTAACCTAACCTAACCTAACCTAACCTAACCTGACCTACCTTAAGTTTAAGTATTTCCCTGGCTTATTCCTGAAATTCGTGTATGTATGTATGTACTGTATGTATGTATGTATGTATGTATGTATGTATGTATACAAATGTGTGTGTGTGTGTGTGTGTGTTCTCGTTACTGGGATAAGAAACTCGTACATTGCGTATTGAAATATAAAACAAATATAAAGTATATTTAGATGTTGTGTTTTATGAAGTGTTTATTGTTTATATATTTGTTTACTTTGTAAGTAATTGGGAGAAGATACAGGTGTAACAGTCAGAGAACACAATGAGTTATTGAATGGGGTGATGTGGTCGTCTGCGAGAAATATCCACAAATACAGAAAGAACATAAATGAACAATAATGTTACGCGAGTTATTGTCTGTTCTTCCTGTAGCCACCATATAGGATCCTGATGTGTGTGTGGTATAATGATAAACATAGTCGCCACCAACTACTGGGTCTGGTGACTGATTAATGGTGTGTCGTCTCTGGTGTTGTGACTTAATAGTCGCCACCAACTACTGGGTCTGGTGACTGATTAATGGTGTGTCGTCTCTGGTGTTGTGACTTAATAGTCGCCACCAACTACTGGGTCTGGTGACTGATTAATGGTGTGTCGTCTCTGGTGTTGTGACTTAATAGTCGCCACCAACTACTGGGTCTGGTGACTGGTTAATGGTGTGTTGTGATTCTAATAGCTGCCACAACTACCGGGTCTGGTGACTGATTAATGGTATGTCGTCTCTGGTGTTGTGACTAATAGTCGCCACCAACTACTGGGTCTGGGACTGGTTAATGGTATGTCGTCTCTGGTGTTGTGCCAGTCCAACT